TTTTTTTAAGTCTACATTCATAAATCATCTTGCAAAAAATTAGATAAATCGGAAACTAACCGTTTCAATATCCAATTGTATCTTACAAAATCAACGAACACGGTGCTTTAAGTAAGTACTAAAATTTCAATAATTCAATTGAGTGGTCAAATGATATCAAATTCAAGTGATTTTTTTATAGAGATGATCTTTGAATGAGTTTCTACAAAATAGATTGTTTTGATTAGTGAAATACAATACGGAGTGGGCTCTACAAAAGTGCCCCTCAAGTAAGCTAATTTGAGAGATCCCTCAATAGAAGTTCTTTATATATGCGCACACACACACACACACACACATTATTAGACTGTAAATCTAAATTACTTATTAATTCATGCAAACTTAACTTAATTAATAATCGAGATTCACAACCCGACGACATAACACCTTACGTTGCTAAACAATCGTAACATTTTGTATTAATTTCATTCAAGCACTTTGGATGGAAATTTTGGATACATTACCTAGACACATCACTTTCCTGTTTGTTGGAAATAAAAATGACGACATTTCTGGCTTTCTACACCACCTTATGGATAAAGCCTAGTCTTTCGTTGTTAAGGTCCACATTGCTTAGCTAGTACATGTACATGCCTGTCTATATACCCTCTACACGGTTTTATGGTGATGGGGAGTTTGAATTTGTTATTGGGTCCAAAAAAAGTGGAATGATAACTGGACTACATTTGATGATGAGAAAGTGTTTGTATTAAGCTCTGCTTGCTTGCCAGATGCCACCACATCACAAAATGAGAGGAGACAACATTACAAAGCATTCTGAAATCGCACAAAAAATTATTTTTTCTCCAACATTCTTTTATATTTACCACTTTCTCTCATAATGATGATAGACATTGATATATCCGAAGGTTTTTTTTTTTTTTTTTAAAGCAAAAAAAAATTATTTTTTGAATTTGATTCTCTTGATGCTAATGCCCCATCCAATATCATGAAAACCTTATCTTGTTCAACCACACTAAAATATATATGCTTCTACATTGTTCTGGACTTGTGCTAAAGTGTGACATTTTGAGGCCTTGGATTATTAGAAAAATGTGTGCAAATAAAAGTGGAAAAAGATGATTAGAATATGAAAGAAGGGGAGACAAAATGTTTTGGAGGGTACCCATGTATGATGTATCATTTGCTTCCATATGTAGAGTTGGATCAGTAACAATGAGACACACAATCCCTCCACATTTGATCTGGATTTCCATAGTCTTGGAGATTATCAATTAGATTTGTCGGTGCTCAACCTCTATCAAGTATTTGTTAAACACATCAGCTTTGATGTGTTTTCTTTTGATTTGATGGGATATAAAGCTAAGTAGGTTATGTTGGTTTGTAGTTGTTCAGCACTTTTCTCTTCTTTTTCTCCAAATTCCGAAAACAGAAATAAAACATGGCTTGGTGGGTGGTGATTCTCATCTTGCTTATCCTTGGAAAGTCTAATTAAAAGTTTGCTTACTTTAAATAAATATTTATTTATCGAAGTAAAAGTTACTAAATTATATACTTTTTGCTGTTTGTGAAATTGAGAATATTCATTTGCGATTTTTTATTCAGGTAATTTTATATGTAATAAGTCAAGGATATGCCTTCCTTTTTTTGGGTCACATGGTGGCAAAAGGCAAAAGCTACTATCATTCTAATCCGGGCCGAGACCTTCCGGCCTTATCATTCTAATCAAGGATATGCCTTAGTTTTGAGAAAAGTATAACATTATTAGGGTCTAATTGACAATATTGTCTCACGATCCAAGTAGTCTATTTTGTTAGTACAGGAGAAGGGTTGACTTGCATATTAGTGATCTCAGGTTCGAACTCCCATGACACATTGACTATGTATGTGAGAAAACCTCCCTCCCTCAATATCGCTTGTGCAAAAAAAAGTATTATAACTATTTTTGTCTCGGATTTATCCAAGAAATGAGATTGAAAAATCATCGAAGAAATTGAATCTTACAAGGAGAGAATACCATTGAATGATCAAATAAGCTAGGAGAAGATGAAATTGAACCAAAGCCCATATCCTCAACGCACAAAGACCAGGCCATACGAGAAAAAAGATAGAGAGATAAAGACCCCATAACAGTGACAACAAACAATGGTAGGCACAACAACAATTACAAGAAAAAGCAACACAAGGTGTGTGGGTCTGGACCAGCACAAGTCAGAAAGCCCATAGACCCAACTAGCGACAGGCACAGAGGAAACAAAACATCAAAACAGAACAAACGAACATCAAATAGCGAACAGAAAATCACAAGAACGCCAGAATCTGTCTTGAAATTCTGCCAAAATATACTCAATTTCTTGCAACTATTCGCCTTCCAAATTTTCCTATAAAATATTATTTCCTCAGCGACCTAGTAAAAGTATGGCCTCGAATAATAACGGTGAAACTTCATCCACCGTGTCACAGATCACAAATATTTTGTTCAATACAATTCTGTCCTCCTACATCACTAAAACATCTAACCAGGCAAAAACTAAAATACCCCCCTCTTTACATAATTAGAAAATATATAACACAACAAACGCCGTTACGCCGTACCGTTCAACTCTGGTCAAGAAGTCAATACAAGACAAGATATATGTTTAAAGCATTTAAATACGATGCACCTATATCTTTTTCATCTAGTTGCTTTCTAACAATTGCCTTCAAAGGTAAGTTTATTGATGAAAAGTGAAACTAGTTGGCTCCAACTTGATAGTGCAATTGAGCTCAGTACCCCTTCATCATGTACTATCAGAATGGGCAGCAGTCAGAATAATTATTCCAGAGCCCAAAAGAACTGCCCCTGCTCATTCAAGAGCAAAACTTCTGGGTAAGTTAAATCATGAACAACTTTAACTTGCTTTTCATTTTGCAGCAGTAATTTGATAGTTTGAAAGACAAATGCAAGCTGTTCCTGCAAATGATGACAGGGACGACTAAGTAAACTTAAATGGTATTGTGTTTCAAGCTCAACATCAAATCTGATAGGTGCCTCGTATGAATATTGAACATAAAAAATAAAGAAAAGAGTATTTAAGAAAGAAAAAAAAAATCACCTTCGAGTTTCTCCACAGCATGATCAGCGCCTCAACTAACAATCTTCGGTCTATACTTCTTCAATCCTGTAGAAATCAAACTTTTTTCTTTCTTTTCTGTTATCATACAATGACTATAGCCCGGATATTCATCCTATCAAAATCTACCTCATGCAGCAACGTACATTCCTCTTACGCTAATTAGGCAAAAGTTATGATGATACTGGCAGTAGGAATTTACATCAATTACTAAACTCATGAAAGCCATATTCCAGCAACTTGACGTGGATAGTCCCATATCCTCAGAACCAATTAATTTGAAAGGCCTAAATTGTGGTTTAAGATGCATCAGTTTATCAGTTTGCCATTGATTTCACGCATCAATAACTTGGAGCTGTCAACAACGCGTTTGCTTTCATAAACTATATAACTACACATTTCATGCCTGGGTGCTGGTTTGAGCGATCTTAATTCAAGGAGGGGATCCGTAATCTGAGACTTACTGCAGATCTCCCTTGCTGGCTGGACATGGTTCCACCAAAAATCTGAGAGAACCATTTTCAAAACATCCCAGTATTCTGCATCTCGGTATACCCTGAATAGGCTGCTCCCTTTAGGAGTCCAAACATAGAAATCCATCCAATCCCTGTCAAGTATTTCCATTAAACCCTGAGCCTGTGGAACACAGTATAGAGGAATTCGTGACCAAGGGGTAGCCTTTTTCATATTTCCATCGAAAAAAGGGCACTTAATCTCCAGCACTCCTCGTGAAGGCAATCCGTATACCAGTCTATCAACCACCCCATCTGGTGAAGCTCCTAGCCAATCATCTCCGGCATTTCTATTACCATAGACTTGAAATTCAGGAAACAAGACAGAATTTCCTGTTATTAATTTGTATCTTTCAAGTGCTTCCTCTTCTTTGATATTGCTCCAACAGGTAGCCAGGTTACCCGAATATGGCTCAATTGCTCCAATCTTCTCTAACCAAAGCTGGAGTCTTCGGCGATGAAAAAAACCAACGGCCGCAGCAAAAGTGCTAGCTGTCAGTTTATGTTTTCTGAGTCCTTGCCAATTTTTGAACCAGTGCTGAAGACCACTTGAGTGAAGAACAGAATAACCTCCAGATGAAGCAAATCTCATAGAGCAATGAGAATGGTTGAGAACTTTTCTGTGGTTAACAAGCATACTAGGATCCAGTACTGAATAGAATTGGTTGCCCTAGTTTCTCCGTCTAGTTGCATCTGTAACAAGAAAATCATTTTTTTTAAATCCCAAGAATACCTACAATACTTCCAATTCTGGCACTTGTGGTATCACAGTTGAACATGAAGGACAAACAAGAAGCAATTTTCACTGCCTAGGAAAATAAATGCAAGTAAGACCAAAGACATACCAATTGCTATACAATGGAGGATATGTCTGTGTAAGAAAGAAGATAATGCAATATTTATGCATACAAATAGGAAAAAATTCAAACAAGTTATGTTGAGGACATAGGATGCATGAGCACATGGTTATGTAACGCCCATCATAACTAATTCAATGCCCACATCCAAAATCACACCATCCTTCAAGTCAGCAACTAATGCTCTAAATCTTAACTAAAATTCTTCAACCAGTGACTGAATTCTCTTTTTGTTCCAGTACAACAGCCCAGTTTATTGTGAGACCCAACAAGTGACACACAGTTTTAACATGAGTTGAATAGTAGAAATATTAGAAACACAATAGGAACTGTAAGAGCACAAAAGATCAAAATGAAGTTTATACGTGAGTTGAGTAGAATGATCTATAATTTTGAACATGCCTATATATTAAATATCAAATCATTAGATGCCTAAACATATAATGAATAAACCCGGACATCATAGCTGAATATGATACATGGAAATAACAATATTATATGACATAAATGCACCCAATTCATCTAAGAGGCACTTCATCAAACACTACACTGTCAATAACAATCTGAATTTGCAAAAAAACAAAATAAAAAGTGCACATACAACCCATCAACATTCAAAGCTACAGACGAAACAGGGAACAATAAGCCCACAAACCGCCATTTACAAGCCTAACACAGACCAAAAATCTCGAGAGAGAAAAAAAAAGCATAAAAATCAGTAGCCATTCTATCACCACATTCAACTATTTTCAACACTCCCAAACTCCTAAACTTAATGCTCTCCTATGAAAAACAATGCATTGGTTTATGCAATACAAAATGCACTAATTTATGCAGAATCAGGAACCAGGTTCTAATTCTGAACATCAAATCCAAAGTAAGAGGAAATATAGAAAAAGGAACTCACCACAGCGTTTCAGTTTCTAAACAACATCCATATTTTCTTCGGTGGGAAACCAGACATGCAACCAAACGAATGCAAAAGACTGTAAGGAAAAAGGAGATAAAACTGAAACCCAAAGAAAATTAATAGGGTTTATCAGAACCCCAGGAGAGGTAATAGGGTTTATCAGACCAAAAGACCAAAACGGGAGAAGCCTTTCATTTATTCCACTTAGTTTACACCCCTTTTTCGTTTTTTTTTTTCGCTAACAGGGGGGCTAAAAGCCCAACGCAACAACCAAACTAGGAGGCAATACGACGCCGTCTGGAGAGACCCATACTCTGTTGCACCAATACGCGGGATTTTGGGGGTATGCGCATATCCGATACGGCCCCAATACGTATCCGAAATGCCATGTGGCATATTGTAGACTTTTATGGAATGTTGACTTTATGATACGGCTCCAATACTCCATCAATACGGTGATGATACGATCACGATACGTTTGTGATACGGTCACAATACGTCAAGGGGTCAAAGAGAAAATATTTTGAAAATTTGGGGGTGATTGTAAAGGTTATTAAATATTTGGGTTAAAATGTAAACTTAAAACTTAGAATTTCAAAAACCCTATGTCGAGAGGCTAGGTCTTTTGGGTTAATCAGACAGCAATCAAAAAAGAAGAAGAAGAAGAAGGAAGAAGGAAGAGAACTCACCAGTAATCGCCGTCACACCCATCTCAAATTCATTTGGTTGGGTTGGGTGGGTTTCTTACGCAGTTCTTCTTATTCTTTTAATAACTTTTGTTAATTAAATAATACGTATATGGCTTTCTTTAATAAGTTGTTGTGTGGTTAATTTGTGAAGTTGAAGGTGTTGTTAATTAGATAATATGGATATATTACTTAAAATATTTTATGAATATATTTATTTATTAATTGTTTATTTTTAATTATCAAACTTCATTTGATTCACATGAAATGAATAATGTGGGTGATAGTTCTAGTGATTTTTTTTTTTTTTTTTGGGGTCAATACGAAGTTCAATAACAAAACTGGAGAGGGCCGGAACCACTGGCGGACCTAGAAATTTTTTAGCGGAGCTGCAATATTGGTATGAAAAATGGTTTTTTGGAATAATCATTTTCTCAAGATAATTTTTGGCGGCTTTTATTCCTTACACATCAAATAAGAAAACTTGATTTTATGGGATTTTAGTATGAAGTATATATTGACTTAATGAGCCATCATTTTTAGCCTAAATCGTATTTTGCACTAAAACCGAATTTTCATATTTTGATTTGGTGGGAATTTGATTTTCTAGTATTTTTATTTGAATCCAAATGGGGGGTACTTCCTTATTTACATTGTAAATTTAAGTAAATGGAGTAATATAAAAATAAATAAAAGTAAAAAAACAAAGATATTTACTTAAATGTTGAAAATGGAAATAAGGTAATCTGTACACCAGTTGAGCAAAGGGGCAATTTGAAGCACTTACAATGGTTTTTCGGGCGAAGGCTGCACCTCCTTGCGCCTTAATAGATCCGCCTCTGGCCAGAACCACGTACACCTGGGAATGAACATCCACCAGGGCAGCACAAGGAAACAAAACAACTTAAAATAAAACAATCACAAGATCTTCAATAGGACGATTGTCCAGCAGGGGTGACAGCAGAGCCCCAGACAAAGAAGATGAGTGAGGAGCAAAACACCGTGTCTTAGACCAACTCCAGCGGGGAGCCCAGCCTGAGGCTGGGGGGGAAAAAAAAAACTTGTTCCAGTGGATAGCCCAGGCCGGGGGAGGTGTGGGACCCACCAACTCGGGCTGGCCTGAAGGCGACTTCAACCCGAAGTCCAAAACAAGGGCTGCTGACGTCAGCGCTACAGTACCCCGCTACAGTATCTCCGCTACAGTACTGCTACAGTACCCACTGAGTTGATTTTTTCCCTGCTGCCACATGGCGTCGTCTGGGCTCTCCGATTTGATTTTTTCCTCTAATCCAACGGCAGCTAATTTTTTTGCAATAAAATACTGGAAAAAATTCGGAAATTTTTTTAAAAAATACCCAAAAATTAATGAATTTTTTTCTATAAATACCAGCCAAATTTTTTTTAATTTATCTGAAATTTGAAATTGAAAATTTTATCCGATTATGAGATATGAATAGTATTGACATGCAGGAATCCTAAAATCTAATCCTAAAATATTATACAAATTAATTATTGTGGTAAAAAAAGTTGTGAAAAAAATAAAAAAATGAATAGTAATTGCCATTTGCCATGACAACGGGTGGAAACGGAAAATACTATTTGCAAGGGCAACTACTATTCACGTGTGAATAGTGGCTGCCCTAGCTCCCCCCTTGCCATGGCTAAGGGCAAATGGGTGGAGTTGCTCTTATGGGGGCCCAGGGAGGCCATCCATTGTAAGAATTCCGACCACAGAGGGAGGGGGTTGTGTAACCCAGCAAAGCGTTTTCACCCTCGAATTGGCTAATTTTCTAGTGATGGGAAATGAATAATGTATACAAATTTTCTATTTATATTGTTTTTTAAATATATATTATTTTAATCACCATATCAGTACTATATTCATATCTTATTTTTTGAAAATTTACCGTATCGATATATCGTATCGTATCACCATACAGTTTCCATACTTGTATTCATATAGGTGCAAAATTCTGCTAACGGTATGTATGTATGATTCACAGTACAATTACAATCCTTCTTTTTCTTGACATATGTTAACTTCCACTAACAATCAAAGGGCAATACCGTCATTTTCATCTTAAAAAAAACTTAATTTAAAAAAAACCTAAATACCCAAATACCCCGTCAGCCTCAAACAAATTCAAAGAAAGAGCGAACAACTGTGATTGAAATGCGAGGAGTAGTTGCAGAAATAGCTAATGGAGTCCAAGAAAACGACTAATGAAAGAGAAATGGGAAAAACTTAAAACAAAAACTGATAAGCAATTTCTTAAACCCTTAGATATAAATATTAAAATTACCTGGGAGAAGAAGAACTAACCAGATTTTAGTCTGAAGAAAGTTGTGTCAAGAATCTTAATTCCTATTTCTTTAGGTGGCCGAATCTTTTTTCTCAAATGAGAGTTGAAATGAGAGAATGTGAGGAGACTTTAGAGTCCTATTTCTGAGTAGTGGGCTTGGGTTCATTTGAAGAGAGAGAATGAGGGGAGGGGGAGACAGTGAAGAGAGGGTGGAGTAAGGGTGGGGTGGTGGTCAGTGGCGGATCCAGGAAATTTCCTTTCAGGGGTCAACCTCTAAAGGTTAAAAAAAATTTATACAAAATATACCCATAGAAATGAAACGATAATATTTTAATTCATCATTAATAGAAAAAACCATATTACAATTGTCCACGACGAGTTTTCATATTCTGAAAACGTGACATTATAGTTTCATTATCAATACAAGCAAACACACCTCTCTCAATATAAACAAGTAAGCTTCGGCAAAAAAAAAATATAAACAAGTAAGTTATCACACAACCATTGATCTCCCACTCTGTTGCGAAGTGGACCTTTCACAATATTCATAGTAGAAAATGCTCTCTCTACAGAAGCAGTTGCAACTGGTAAAGTTAAGGCTAATTTGATAAGCAAATAAACATAATTATATGTTCTATGCAACCCTTTCTCCACTATTTTTCTTGCAAGGCTACCAATCCCTTTCAATTGAGAAAAATCAGTCATCATACGCATATGATTAATATATATCTCAAGTTGATCTTCAAGTGCCAAGAGATTTCGGGGATTAAAATCTTGAGGATAAAATTCAGCAAAACGAAGCAGCTTTTGTTTGTCAAAAGCTCTAAAAGAATCATCCGGACTCAAACATGTCAAACAAAGAAGTAACTCAGTATTTACCTCACTGAAGCGATGATTTGATTCTGCAAGTTGCTACTCAATGATTTGAATAAAGATGTCCACACGATAATGATGAAGGTGTGTTATTCTAAGAGCTCTTCGATGTGATCTCCATTGAGCTACATATGCATCATCCATGTTTGGAACCAATATATCATGTTTGACACAAAAGGAAAATACTTGATCAAGCAAGGCTTCAAATGCATTCTCTCTCATGTGTTGTAGTTGGTTCTTGCAAACTTTGACTAAAGTCATTGCATTCCCAATGTCTTGATCTTTCCTTTGTAATGCTTGTGACAAGTCATTTGTGGCTCCCAATATAGATCTCATGAAAAATAACTGAAAATATGTTTGCCCGTTTTGCGTTTACTCCTGCGATGGAAGGGCAAAGTTCCCCACTGCCTTGAGAACCATAGACTGGTCAACAAGTCAGCTTTCTTTGGTGTGCGAGCGTGCCACTGCTAGTAATAAAAATTCTAGCAGACTTAGTTTGGAATAGATAACTTGCGCCCCAAGTTACTGATTTCTGCAAACAAACGATTGTGAATTTGGGTGAGGAATATCTCCCAAGTAAGTTCTTTTCCTGCCTCAGACTGGTGAGGACTTTAACAATTTATCTCAGTATAAACAGGCTGTTCTGGCCAGAATGGTTGATGGAATTTAAACTGTTTCAGGCAGAACTGATGGAATTTAAACTGTTTTTAGGCAGAACTGATGGAATTTAAACTGTTTTTAGGCAGAACTGATGGAATTTAAACTGTTTTTAGGCAGAACTGATGGAATTTAAACTGTTTTTAGGCAGAACTGATGGAATTTAAACTGTTTTTAGGCAGAACTGATGGAATTTAAACTGTTTTTAGGCAGAACTGATGGAATTTAAACTGTTTTTAGGCAGAACTGATGGAATTTAAACTGTTTTTAGGCAGAACTGATGGAATTTAAACTGTTTTTAGGCAGAACTGATGGAATTTAAACTGTTTTTTTTGTAACGAGAGAAATCTCGTTTTGAATGACTTATTTTCTAAGTCTGAACCTTGGGAATTCTAATCTAAAGCTGGTTTTCACTTGGAATTCAAGTGAGCTTCTGGTTGATTTTGAGTTGTTGTGTTTGTGAGTGTCTTGGCTCAATGAGTTTTGGTTGCTTTAGTATTTTGAAGGTTTTTTGAGATCAAGTGATCATTTTGAATTTTTATTTTTGATTGATTTTTTTGGTTTTTTGAGTGTCTTTTTCCCCTGTTCACTCCTTCTTGTATTTATAGTAAACTGC